GCAGTGTTGGGCGTAACATGCTCCAAAGGAATGTGTAACTTTAATCACGTTACATTTTTCAGTAATCCAATTTCAGTTATAAATATAGTAGCTTGTTACTTCTATTACAAAGGTTCTTCAGTTATCTGCACACTGGGTGGGTACAAAGGGGGGAAAAAGTCAAGTTTTTCCTTCCTGGTTGTTCACACTGCAATCAGAGTAATTTAGTTCATGTGCAGAAGGTGGTGGTGTGATCTACAGCTTTTCAGGAGTCAAGATATGGACATCAATTTTAGTTTTATAGCACAAAAGGACATTCTAATGTGAAGCTAGCCAAGAACCCAGAGTGATGTTAAAGCTTAGTGAGTGCTGACCCGAGCCCAGGAGCAAGACCCTGAACTCCAACTGATGAGCAGTCAGGCTGTGTCCTCATTAGGCTAGGGACTTGTGTTAGTTAAATAGTAATTATGCAACAATACAGGTGATGCAAACGTAATGTAACAAATTACTTTCTCTAGCAAGTAACTAACTAAGGTAAAGCGCTTTGAGGGGCAGCACCTCATAGCGAAGAATCATATGTTAAGGTCTTCACAGTCATCCATTGCTGTGGAAGTCATCTGAGGAGGAAGCATCGCTTTAACACCGTTGGAACATCACTAATGAACAGTTACCGACTGCTGACAGAGAAACACTCATCCCAACACACCCTGTCAGTTGATAACGTCTATCTTCCTTTACAAAGGTTTGAAGACACAAGCACATAAAAAAGTCACAAGAGTTTATTTTCATGTTTTTTGTACACTTGCAGAAATCTTTAAGCACTTTGTGAAATAAGTTTATAAAATTAAAATTGCAGTATCATCCATCCACAGCAAGTTCAATAAGGAAGTTCTGTAATCACTGTGTGTTCAGCTGCTAGTCTGACCACTACCACTTTCTGTCAATACTGACATCATTATTCTAGTCCAATCATCTTCTTGCACACGATCTTTAAGCCAATGAGCTTGCATGATTTAATTCTGCGTGCTCTGTATTTTCCCTTCTAGACTCTCAATTATGTACCCCACCTACTCCCCATCTCCACATCACCCAGTCACTCTGAGTCACTGGAATAACTGGGATTCCATTCTGCCATAAGATCATCATAGTCTAATTATCAATAAAACTGATTAATTTCTCAATAAATCATATTAAGTTCTCCCAAAGGATCTCTCCTTAATGAAATACTTTTATAAAAAAAAAAAAGCATACAGGCTCATTTAAGATAATAGCAAAGCGATATGCATACTAAAGGAGGCACATTATACAGAGGTTCACCTACATTTAGAGCAGTTTCAGGGCTAAGTTCACCTTTGTTTTATCAGTTTAAGTCGGCTGATTCAGTGTGAGCTGCTGAATGTATTTCAGTCACTGAGCAATTTTATTTAACATGTTCACAATTCACCTTCAGATATTCATTCACACATAATCAAATCAAGTGTAACTCAATGAAAGGCTGAATTTCAACCTTTTCTTTCAAAATTCAAAAAAATTCAAAACAGTGATTTAATGCTCTTTGAAATTTGTTTGAAATGAATTTGCAAACTGATGATGATTCAGTTAATCAATGACGACACAATGCTCTCCCTACATAGGCTGCATTTGTAAGTTAAAAGTATCAGCATTAGTAATACTGACCCTGTAATGACTTATTATTGGATCAAGATCAAAATTTGCTGTATCCCACAACCACTAAGCTAACACAGAGAGGGAGACAATCTTGTTTCACTGTTGTAGCTTATTATATGATCCTGCTTCATCATCACATTACTTTTATAAAATGTCAAATTAAAATAAGACAACTTGCATTAAACAGCTCTGGAACAATTTTGAATTCTTCATAAAATTTGTCCAGGATATAAAGAGTTCTTTATAACACACGAGTTAAACATTCTGGATAAAAGACATGGACACACACACGCATGCAAACTCACACTGAAGCAGCTGACTTAAATCCCCAAAATAGAACTGGATTGAGATGTGTGACATGGAGCTTTTCTTCCATCCTTTGTTTCAGACAACTTCAGGAGAATTTCAGAAGTGGAGAGATAATTCGATGAACTATAACACTCGTCTGTCAGACCCTCCTGGTGCTTTTGATCCCATTTGCTGTGGAATTGCAGAGAAAAAAGCAAAACAAAAAACTAATGAATCTCAATAGAAATTTGTTTTCTTTAAAACAGGGTCAATAAATGAATAGTTAAGCTGATATTAAAGAAGACGATATTATACAAACTTACCTCGAGCATTGAGTAAAATTAAACAACAACTATTCCAATTATTCCAAAAATAACTGAAACAATAGTAGCTCTCATCATCCCAGTCCCAGACCGGTCACCTGAAACATAAAAAAGATGAAGTCACACTCAAGATGTTACAGCAAACATGTACTTATTGTACATGTACAAGCCATCTCTTGACTTATACTTTTCAGTGAGCTGTTCTCCAAGTTGCTTGGTGTCATGTTGTCTTCATGTTGCAATTGTAGCAGAAATACCGATCGACCAGAGACTGGACCTCACAGACACATGTGTTTTTATACAGTAATCACCTGACAAACACATCAATTGCACTCAGGCGACTTCCATTTCAGTAACTGTGACACTGATAGAGTCAGCTAGCTGGACTTCTGCTGAATTACATCAATCACTTTTATTTTACACTATATATTTTTAATTATTTCTTTTAATTCAAGCCGAATTATTTTGACCATGATTTGATTAATTAATCCATAAAATAATGAAATATCCTAGAGGAGTGAATACTTTTTATAGCCATTATATAAAGCCTAATTGTATTACATTTGTTATGTTCAGGCTATCTGATAATGTTATAATGGTTTTTATTCAATTACATGTTTTGGCTCTAGTCTGACCACCAATGTCTGATTTTTCACACAGATTTAAAGCCAGTGTCTTCCTAGAGAAGAACTACAGTCTCACACAGCCATTCAACTCTCTTGTTCTATGACCTTGATAAGCACATTTAGGAGATTATGAACTTAATGACTATTTTCAAGCCTTTTTAATGTAATATTTTTACAATTTATTTTACAAATTACCATCCAAATAACATTAAAAGTTAGGATAAAACCAACTATGATTTACTGCTTGATTGGCCACGACTGACTGCTGGAGGGTGAAGTGAGGCAGCAAGAGAGTACAAACACAAAGAAAACAATTTTCACTATCAGTCAAAAACTAATGTATACACTTGTGTCTGCATTTTCATTTTGTTAAATACGAACAAAATTATAGCAGAAGGACTTCCATGTGTCTGGCCAGAAAGAGAGGACCAATCTGTTTATTTGATAGTTCAATGAATGGCTTCAGTTAGTTAAAAAAATTAATTGTGTTCACATTTGCTGTTTTGCAGTTTTTGTCTTCTTATACAATATTTGAAAGACTATATTTTGGGAAATATTTGTGGGTGTTCTTGTTTGTTTGTTTTATTGTACTACTTGAATGCTAAAGTGGCCCTCCAATGAGATGACAGTGCCAGCAGTGGCCCACAGCTCATCTCAGTTTGAGACTCTTGACATAGAACAAGGTTCATTTAGCTTTGTAACGTCCTCCAAGGAGCTACTTTTACTTTCTTACTTTGAGTACATTTAGAGCTGATACTTTTGTACTTTTACTTGAGTACAGAAGTTGAATGAGTACTTCAACTTTTACTGGAGTATTTTTTTAACACTTGTATCTGTACTTCTACTTAATTTCTCTGCTTTTGTAAACTGATCTGTTTGTGGTTTTAGTATTTAACGTTCTTTGTTTCCCTTCAGACCTAAGTCTTTATTCTGATTCTAATCATTTTATTTTCATACTGTTTTATAAAGAAGTAACAGACATAAGTTGTTTGATGGATAAAAACAACACTCACCAAAATGTGCATAGATTTCCTTATGAATCTGATGCCAAATTTCCTTCTGTGTGGCTACACAGCGATAAAAGCCAGTCTTCTTCACAGTAGTTTTGACGGTGATATAGAAGCGATCTCCTTTCGGTGTAACCTGTGGCTCGTCAGAGGTAAGTGTTTTGTTAGTGCTGTCCCACCACTCTACTGTAGGTTTAGGAGAAGCACCTTCAACGTCACACTGCAGCAGTGCCCAGTCATTTGTTTGATAAAGATTTGTTACAGATGGCTTTGGAGCGGCACCTGTGAACAGATGATGATGATGAATGTCTCACATGTAAAAATTAGAAAAATTCTCATTCAGCAACTTTGAGTGTTAATGAGGATTACAGTGTGATTATGAGTAAAGAAAATCACATTAGTACTTCAACTGCACCTCTCTTGATTGAATAGAATTTTAGTATAAAAAGCCTTTACTGCAAATTATTTTTCTGACCCATATAAAGACATTCATGACTTGTTCTGCTTTTGGTAAAACGATAAATTTGAAAACTCATGCATTACCACAATAATAATATTTTAGCTTTATAAATATTGTGTCAAGTAAACACCTTCTGCATACTGGTGGAATAACCATTATGTGAAAAACTAATTTTGGTAAATAAAAATACTATTAATTCATAGGACCTGTGGCATGAACCTTAGTTTAGCGTGGTGGCCGAATAAATTTGTTATAGACTGTAGGAACAATATACATGAACAGTCAAATATAGGTAAACAGAATAGAGCAAAAAAAGACAAAGATTAAGGTGCTATCACAGTATCTTAACAGAACTGATGCATGCAGCATTTTTCTAAGAAAGCAACATAGAATTCCACAAAATAAAGAAAAATAATAACTGATCTTTTAAACTAAATTTGAACCTGCTGTGCAAGTATAAAGTATAGTTCAAATCGAGGCAGCTCACTCTCTGGGCTGTATTTACTTTTATGGGAATAGTATTGCATTTTGTATGCATTTTTGTTGTTGTTGTTTCTTTTTGTTTTTAACAACACTTTACGTACAATTCAGTTTCAAGCATAGTAGATGTTTGTTTTTGATTATACAAACATAATGTAGCAGTAGGTAATGGATAATAGATACTAAATTATAAATAACGGGCCTTGAAAAAAATTAAGTTTACTATATTATATTACACTGCAGTGCATTCCTTGGTGGATGTAATTATACCCCATAAAACCTAACGTGTGAAGAATAAAAAGAAACCTCTCTTGAATATAATTTCAAGTTATTGAAAGGTTGAATCCGACTGCAATACTTTTCGAATGTTTGCATCTTCTGAAGAATTTTTTTACTGGGTCTGACAGCTGTATGCAATTAGAAAAATACCTTATTAGACTATTTATGACGCAGATGATGTAGCATAAAAAAATCGCCATAGGTTTGCATAAAATCCAAATAGAAAATGAACTTTTGTTTTCACTAAAATACATTAAAGTGCGGTCTTTGTCTTTACCCTTTAGTGATAAGTTCACATTCACACTTTTAAAAGACCGCAAAGACGAGTGACGTAATTAAAAAAAGACTCACCTGAGAGGTTTCGGACCTTTAACCTTTTAAAACGCAGAGGGTGTATGCGACCCAAGTTTGCATATAAAAAATAATAAATAAACATGTAGCACATTTTCATGGCGACTGGAAGCTTAAATACAGACTTTTTATATACGTTTTGAAATGTCTGATATTCAATTTTCATCAGATTTGTTACTCTCCCGCAATGATCTACTGGATAAAAATCGTAGCGCACTGATTTACGACAGTAAATAGTTTCTAACTTTATTGCTAGCATTTGGTCTCACCGTAAAACGATGTTTCTTTAGACAAAAAAATACTTTCGAAAACGAGCAAGAGCTCGTTTTAAACAACATAACTCCACTGATAATGCGTAGCTTGTTTACGTTCAGCAGGGAGTAAAAATAACCCCAAAAAACTGAATTCATTCACTCATTAAGGTTTATCGGTGAGAGTCAAACTTCTAAAATTGCAATATTAAATTACATTTGAAAGAACCGACAAAATATTTTACCAATCAAGTTTGGTATCGCTGAAATCTGTAAACACTCCCGAGAAAAATTAACAAATCAGCATCTTTTTCTAACGGAAAGGGACGCACTCGCGAGACTGGTTATTGAATCAACCAATCAGAAAAGAGCTTCTGTACGCAGCCTCGTGCGGGGCTTATTTGGCCGCTACTGTCATGCAATAGAAAATCACCGCAGTGAAATCACTCTCCGTTTGAAGCCAGGAAAACCCCCTTTCTGACCATATATGGAAGTTAATGTGGTTAGCCTCGCTGTTACAATGTGAGGAACACAAATCAAAGAAAACTATTTTATCTGTCGAAAAAGACCCAATTACTTTATAACATATATATACATCTGCTTTTAAAATTATTTAATAAATCATTTTGTAGTTATGTTTAGCGTTTGGGAACATTTTAAGTGTGAAAACCAGAAGGAATCCCCATAGTTTGTTAACTTTGGAGAGATTTTTGCGAAGTTTGAGGCAACTGGTTAAAGGTGGTCTGCTTTGCAATTTTTAATTAATTTCTGTAATAGCTTAGAGTAACTTCTGTGTATCAGCATGAAACATGGCATATTTATTGTAGATAAAGTAAAGACGATATCCTGTAAATTTCAGCCTTCTAGTCCTTATAATGACTGTTTAACTGCTTTTAATATATGAAGTAAAAGCTCAAAAACATCCAGGATTCAGTCATTTCCTGTATAATAATCAAACAAATGATCTGTGTTAGAGCTAAAGGTAAACCCAGAAGACTACATTAAATATCAGTGATTTTTGTTCACAGTGATGAAACAACCAGGTATCAGTTATTTATGGTTTGGAAATTATTCATAAGTTTACCATGGTAGTTACAGACATGCAGAAGTGCACATGACTGTGAGAGGCTCTAACAGATTAATCTGCCCTCTGAAAGGAAAACACACACACATGTTAGAGGTGACTGTGTTATCATCAACTTGGCAGTCTGTTTGAACAACTGTGCATCTGAAATATAAGGAAAAATTAACATTTATTTATTAAGTCTTTATAGTTTATTTCATTTATTACATTTTATTTTGTTTATTGAACCCTATGGATACCTCCGATCTTTGATAAGTAGCCAGGCGCAGGACCAGCATGCACACGGCTTTGTTTCTCAGCTTTGTTCACCAAATATTGCGAATTTCACTGCAGATGTGCTGCAGGGGTGAGACCCTGCCAGATGTGCATGCTGACTGTTTCATCTGTAAATAATCAGCTGATTTATAACAGCACTCACCAACAACAAGCTCAATGCGGAAGATTTTGGTTGGCTTCATTTCTGGAAAACTGCAGGTGTAGTTTCCATTGTCCTCCAGAGTAGTTTTATTCATTCTTATGGAGGCGTTTCCATGCTTCAGCTGTTCTGGAAAATGTGAGACTCGACCTTTGAACTCTTCATCTTGACCTCTACTATATGTGCCGTCATCAAACATGAACACCACCTTTAGAGGAACTGTTCCTTCCTTCTTCCAGACAAACAATTCTTTCTCAATGTTCTGATTGGTGCCGAGGGAGCAGGGTAAAATGACATCATCATCTTCCATCACAATCACTCTGCTGTCAGGTGGTCCTGAAAGACAAAACATGAATTAAACAATGTGTTCAGATACAAAGTGATGAGGATATAATGAGAGTCATTTATGAGTGAGGGACAGCCAATCAGAAGAAAGTTCATGCTTGATTTTTACTAATTATGAACTTTTAAAAAAGGCCCAAGGTTAATTAAAAAAAAAAAAAGCCACAAAAATATAATCAGAAAACTTTTTCACTATAAAAATCATATATTTTTGCTCAGTTCCCCTTCATAAAAACAAACTGATTAAACTGGTCTGGACAAAAATGATGGTACCTCTAGAAAAGAGTAAAAATAAGATGACTATAGGGACCTTAAACCGAGGTGTGTCCTGTAATTATTGTCAGATATCTTCTTACTTGTAATCAGTCGGCCTATTTAAAGGGTGAATAGTAGTTAATGTGCTGTTTGATGTTCCTGCACCGCA